CCCACCCCATGCCACCACCCACACACCACCCCAGCACAACAACCCACGCCACTTCCCCACCCACGACAACCCACCACCCACCTACCACCAAAACACTCACACCACCACCCACCTCTACACCACCCCCCACCCCCCACCCCCCATGCCACCCCACGCCACCCTTATTTCTGTAATAAAGCTCGTTGAGACGACTTCTAGAATCCGTCTTTTATTCAACTTCTGTTACATTTCTATGGGCAGTCCTCGACTTACGAACGGGTTACGTTCCCAAAGAGCTGTTCGAATTGGCACTTTTTGTTTACGTTAGAAACCTCTTACTGATTGCCGGTGTGGGGTGGTGGTGGGCTGAACAACACACATTCATTTTTCGATTTAAAGCTTTCGTGACTGCAGGGATTCATCTTCTTGGTTCTTTCGGTAAAGTCACGTAGAATGGAAATAATAAAATAATAAAATAAAAACATAATAAAATAATTCTCACTGAGAATAAAACATGCTAAAATAATTCTCACTGAGAATGATTTTATTATGTTTTATTTTTTTTATTTCATTATTTCCATTCTACGTGATTTTACCAAAAGAACCAAGAAGATGAACACACATTCATGTTTACGCGATTTAACCCAAAAACCTCCATCATGCATAATATTGGTGGCAAAAGCCTACATGTTAAACTAGCCGTTCGTAAGTTGGATTTGTTCGTTTCTTTCGAATTAAAGCTTTCGTGACTGCAGGGAATCATCTTCTTGGTTCTTTCAGTAAAGTCACGTAGAAGGGAAATAATAAAATAATAAAAATAAAACAATAAAATCAAATAACATTCTCACGACGTTTCGGCCACAACGCAAGCAGCCGTCCTCAGGTGAAGAACAGGTCTGTCGGAAAGACAGCATCATTCAGACGTGACTTTACCAAAAGAACCAAGAAGATTGTTCGTATCTCTCAGCTCACTGTATAATTGTACGTATGGTCAGCGTGGTCCAACGTGTTACAGTTCAATGCAAAAGGGAAGCGCTGTTGTTAAACTCATAAATAAGAAGGAACATGCATTTGTGCGTAACACAAACAGGCATCGACTTACAAATGGGTTATGTTCCCGACAGAGCCTGGATTTGTTCGTATCTCCGAACTCGACAATGAATTCACAAGAGAGGTTCTTGGGTTATATCGCCTGAATATCCCATCGCCTAATTAGTAATGGTTTCTCACGGAATCAAAATGTGCCAATTCGTTACTAGTTCAGCACTAATCGGTGTGTTGGAGAGTAATATTCTTAGGTTTTTTCGGTAAAGTCACGCGGGCAATTTATTTATTTATTTTACTTTTATTAATTTAATTTTTTTTTACCCACGTGACTTTACCGAAAAAACCTAACAATATGAATCCTTGCAGTCACGAAAGCTTCAAATCTAGAATGTTGGAGAGTAAACCCACTACATTCACCATTCGAGTATGACGTTTTGCCGGTAATTACAACCAGCTTAACAAAACTCTACTATGGATAATATTTCGTCGCTAAAGCCGACGTGTTAAATAGACATTGAATTGCACAAGCCCCAAGCCCCATGGGAAGAAAAAAAAACATTGCCCAAGCTCTGGCATCCAACGTTGATCGCGACGATAAATCCGTTGCAGGGCTCGGAGGAGGTGGCTGACGAGGTGGGGGGCAGCTACGTGCTCATGAGGGGCAACGACTACGTCCCCATGTGCCGGGGGGCTCCCCCCACCCCCTGGATCCCGTCTGGAGGTCCCCAGCAGCTCCATCTCCACGGGGAGCGCCTCCCCCCACAGCAGCAGCAGCAGCTGGGTGGGTGGGTGTGGTGCGTGCGGTCTCACAGTGTGTGTGTCTTTGTCTTTGTATCTGTTTGTGTGTGACTCTGTGTGTGTCTGTCTCTCTGAGACTGGAGCGTGCCACTAAGAGGTGGGGCCTTACCATCAGCCCCACCAAAACTAAGCACCTGCCTGGGTATTTTGTACCATCGGACACTCCACCCACACAACTCCCAATCGGTGATGGGGCAGTTGTGGAGAGAGTGGAGAGTTTCCCATACCTGGGCAGTGTGCTCATGACCGGCTCCGGTTTAGCAGCAGAGGTCTCACTCCGAATCAATCGAGCGGCAACATCTTTTCATCGGTTGCGTAACGCTGCGTGGAATCTACCTGGTCTGTTGCTCCGCACGAGGCTTCAGGTCTTCTCGGCCACGGTCATTCCCTCCTTTCTCTATGCTTGTGAAATGTGAACCCCTTTAAAGAAAGATCTGCGACAGTTACAACATTCATGCTGGCCTGCCTACAATTCATCCTGGGTTTAACCCGTTTTGGATTTCGTGAGGAGTGCACATATACCTGAAATATCTGAACTCTGTCTCATTAGTGAGCTCCTCTGGTAAGCGAGGCTTAATTTCGCCGAGTTATTGAGCTCACGTGCCCAGCCACCGCATGCCCAATCAGCTTCCGTTTGTCCAGATAGCGGGGTGGTGAATGGGCACGGATTGACTGATGCGGTACAGGAGGACGTGGAGCTGAGTGGACTTGCTGATGACTGGTACCGGCGGTGTCAAGATCTGCCTCTATAGAGGAGGCTCGTGAAGGATGGTACCGGGCAGTTGGCAGTCACCCTCCAATAACAGCGGAGGGAAAATGAACGATGCTCACAACAACGAGCGGAGCGCCGGGCAGCTAAAACGCCACAAATTTGTACAGTGGGGAGCACAGCTGTTACATCTGCCAGTCATCTCAGGCAGTCAACTCATAACACCTGGGTCTGTCTCATGACTTCCTCAGACTGCACCTAGCCTGGCACAAGCGCTGTGGTGATGTGACCACCACTCATTGGCGAATGACGGCTGTCGTCCATGCCTCTGTGTGTGACCCTATCTATGTTCGTGCCATGCCTCTGTGTGTGACGGTGTCTCTGCGTGTTTCTGTGTCTCTGTGTTGCACCGTTTTGTGTGCGCCTGTGTCTCTGATCGTGTCTCTGACCGTGTCTCTGTGTCTTACCGTGTCTGTGTGTTCCCATGTCTCTGTGTGTGTCCGTGTCTCTGTGTGTGTCCGTGTCTCTGTGTCTTACCGTGTCTTTAAGTGTGTCCTTGTCTCTGTGTGGTCCCGTGTCTCTATGCCTAAGCGTGTCTCTGTGTGTGCCCGTGTCTCTATGCCTAAGCGTGTCTCTGTGTGTGACGATGTCTATATGCCTAAGCGTGTCTCTGTGTGTGCCCGTGTCTCCGCATAGCCGTGGTGGATCTGGTCCCAGGGATGATGTCTCTGTGGAAGCCACCATCCGTGTCTCTGTCTCCCCCGCCGATCAACCGCGACCTGAAGCCGATGCGGTCCGGTAAGACGCTTGGCGACTCACCGGTTTCATTACCAACGACGGCAGCCACACCACACTCACCCACCCACTCACCCACCCACTCACCCACCCACCCACCCACCCACTCACCCAGCCACTCACCCAGCCACTCACCCACCCACCCACTTACTCACCCACTCACTCACCCCACCCACCTACTCACCCACCCACTCACCCACCCACTCACCCACCCAACCACCCACCCAGCCACTCACCCACCCAGCCACTCACCCACCCACCCACTCAACCAGCCACCCACCCACCCAAGCACCCACCCACCCACCCACTCACCCACTCACCCACCCACCCACTCACCCACCCAGCCACTCACCCACCCAGCCACCCACCCACCCACCCACTCACCCACCCACCCACCCACTCACCCACCCACCCACCCAGCCACCCACTCATCCACCCACCCACTCACCCACCCACTCACTCACCCACCCACCCACTTACCCACCCACTCACCCAGCCACTCATCTACCCACCCACTCACCCACCCACCCAGCCACCCACTCACCCACTCACCCACCCACTCACTCACCCACTCACCCACCCACTCACCCACCAACACACCCACTCACCCACCCACCCACCCACTCACCCACCCACTCACCCACCCACTCACCCACCCACCCACTCACCCACCCAGCCACTCACCCACCCACCCACTCAGCCAGCCACTCACCCACCCACTCACCCACCCACCCACCCACTCACCCACTCAGCCAGCCACTCACCCACCCACTCACTCACTCACCCACCCACCCACTCACTCACTCACTCACCCACCCACTCACCCACCCACTCACCCACCCACTCACCCACCTACCCACTCACCCACCCAGCCACTCACCCACCCACTCAGCCAGCCACTCACCCACCCACCCACCCACTCACCCACTCAGCCAGCCACTCACCCACCCACTCACCCACCCACTCACCCACCCACTTACCCACCCACTCACCCACCCACTCACCCACCCACTCACCCATCCAGCCACTTACCCACCCAGCCACTCACCCAGCCACTCACTCACCCACCCACTCACCCACCCACTCACCCACCCACTCACCCACCCACTCACCCACTCACCCACCCACCCACTCACCCACCCACCCACCCACCCACCCACTCACCCACCCACCCACTCACCCACTCACTCACCCACCCACCCACCCACTCACCCACTCACTCACCCAGCCACTCACAATCTCACCCACTCACTCACCCACTCACCCACTCACCCAGCCACTCACCCACCCACCCACTCAGCCAGCCACTCACCCACCCACCCACCCACTCACCCACCCACCCACCCACTCACCCACTCAGCCACCCACTCACCCACCCACCCACTCACTCACCCACCCACCCACTCACTCACTCACTCACCCACCCACCCACCCACCCACCCACCCACCCACCCACCCACCCACCCACTCACCCACCCAGCCACTCACCCACCCACCCACTCACCCAGCCACTCACCCACCCACTCACCCACCCACTCACCCACCCACTCACCCACCTACCCACTCACCCACCCAGCCACTCACCCACCCACCCACTCACCCAGCCACTCACTCACCCACCCACTCACCCACCCACCCACCCACTCACCCACTCACCCACCCACTCACCCACCCACTCACCCACCCACTTACCCCACCCACTCACCCACCCACTCACCCACCCACCTACCCACCCATTCACCCACCCACTCACCCACCCACTCACCCACTCACCCACCCACCCACTCACCCACCCACCCACCCACCCACCCACCCACTCACCCACCCACCCACCCACTCACCCACTCACTCACTCACCCACTCACTCACCCACCCACCCACTCACCCACTCACTCAACCAGCCACTCACAATCTCACCCACCCACTCACTCACCCACTCACCCACCCACCCACTCACCTACCCACTAACCCACCCACTCACCTACTCACACACCCACTCACCCACCCACCCACTCACCCAGCCACCCACCCACTCACTCACCCACTCACCCACCCACTCACCCACCCACTCACCCACTCACCCACCCACCCACCCACCCACTCACCCACCCACCCACCCACTCACCCACCCACTCACCTACTCAGCACCCAAGCCACTTCGTTGCGCTATGGTTTGTGGGCAGGTCGCTTCTGAAAGAAAGCTCCCTAGCTCAGTGGGCTTTAAGCTGGTAACGTGAAAAATGGTTTAGCTTGTGAAGAGTTTTTACGCAGATTCTGATATGAAAACTCGCTTTAACACGGTGGCATAAACCCAAGACGTCAATCAGAGGCATCTCAGTAACAATTTTCATGAAGTAGCCTTTAGCATTGAAGTCTATGGGAGCCTTTAACATTGAAGTCTATGGGAGGATTTAACATTGAAGTCAATGGGAGCCTTTAACATTGCAGTCTATGGGAGGATTTAACATTGAAGTCTATGGGAGCCTTTAACATTGAAGTCTATGGGAGGATTCAACATTGAAGTGTATGGGAACCTTTAACATTAAAGTCTATGGGAGCCTTTAACATTGGAGTCTATGGGCGCCTTTAACATTGGAGTCTATGGGAGCATTTAACATTGCAGTCTATGGGAGCCTTTAACATTGAAGTCTTGCCCCAACAGTCTCGGCGAGGCTACATGGCGGTGGGGTACCTTTATCTTTGTGTGTGTGGGCAGGGGGGCAGACGCGGAGTGGAGGAGCCTCCCCCGGGCCTCAGGCGGAAGCTCCGTGGAGCTCACCGAGGTGCGGACCGTGAGCCTGGCACAGCCACTCGGCACCATCACCAACATCACCAACATCATCACCAACATCATCATCAACAACGTCACCAACATCACTATCATCACTATCATCACTATCATCAATATCATCACCAACAGCACCAACATCACCATCACTGACATAACCATCATCACCGTCATCACCAACATTACCAACATCACCATCACCACCACCATCATCACCAACATCACCAACATCACCATCATCACCATCATCACTATCACCACCAACATCACCAACATCATCACCAACATCACCATCATCACCATCATCACTATCACCAACATCATCATTACCAACATCACCATCATCACCAACATCACCATCATCACCAACATCACCACCATCATCACCAACATCACCATCATCACCAACATCACCATCAACACCAACATCACCAACATCACCATCATCACCATCAACACCAACATCAACATCATCACCACCATCACCACCATCACCACCATCATCATCATCATCACCAACATCACCAACATCACTGTCATCACCAACATCACCATCACCACCAACATCACCATCACCACCACCATTACCATCATCGCCACCATCACCACCATCACCACCATCATCACCATCATCACCAACATCACCACCATCATCACCATCATCACCAACACCACCAACATCACCATCATCACCGACATCACCGACATCACCGACATCACCATCATCACCAACATCACCACCATCATCACCAACATCACCAACATCACTATCACCATCACCGCCATCACCTCCATCATCATCATCACCACCATCGCCATCACTATCGCCATGATCGCCAGCACCATCACCATCATCATGCTGTACCAACACCATCACCACCACCATCATCACCACTATCATCATCGCCACCTACTGGCAGCAGACTGATGCTAGACCATCAAGATGATTAAGATGATTATGACAGCAACACCTCGATATACGAAGTCGATGCGTTCCTGGAGTTTCGTTTGTATATCGAAGCTTTGTAAAGTGAATAACTTGTGACAGCATTGATTATGTCGTTGCCAGCCTTCGTAACTTACCATTTAACATGACAAACACTTGATACTGGTAGGAACCTCCTGGTTACACCAGCCCACAGGGGATTATTGTGTCCGTCGTGCATCCAAAAATGGGAGGGGTGGGGTTGGGTGGAGAGGGGAGGGTGGGGAGGGAGGTGCTGGGTGGGGAGGGTGGGGAGGGGAGGGTGGGGAGGGGCTGGGTGGGGAGGGTGGGGAGGGGCTGGGTGGGGAGGGTGGGGAGGGGCTAGGCGGGGAGGGTGGGTGGGGAGGGGCTGGGTGGGGGTGGGAGGGGTGGGGCTGGGTGGGGAGGGGCTGGTCACCCCGTGGTGCCCTTATAAAACTCAACGTTTAGCCTCCTCACGCCGGCTTGTGCCCGTCCCCACAGTCGGCAATATTTGCGGAATACACCACGCCGCCGTTGACCCTGGCCATTGACCGAGCAACCCAACGTTCCTACCAGCTCCCATAGACTTAAATGTTAAATACTCCCATAGACTTCAATGTTAAAGGCTCCCATAGACTTCAATGTTAAAGGCTCCCATAGACTTCAATGTTAAATGTTCCCATAGACTTCAATGTTAAATCCTCCCATACACTTCAATGGTAAAGGCTCCCGTAGACTTAAATGCTAAAGGCTCCCATAGACTTCAATGTTAAAGGTTCCCATAGACTTCAATGTTAAATCCTCCCATATACTTCAATGTTAAAGGCTTCCATAGACTTCAATGTTAAAGGATCCCATAGACTTCAATGTTAAAGGTTCCCATAGACTTCAATGTTAAATCCTCCCATATACGTCAATGTTAAAGGCTCCCATAGACTTAAATGCTAAATGCTCCCATAGACTTCAATGTTAAAGGCTCCCATAGACTTCAATGTTAAAGTCTCCCATAGACTTCAATGTTAAAGTCTTCCCTAGACTTCAATGTTAAAGTCTCCCATAGACTTCAATGTTAAAGACTCCCATAGACTTCAATGTTAAAGTCTCCCATAGACTTCAATGTTAAACTCCGATTGACTTCAATGTTAAAGGCTCCCATAGACTTCAATGTTAAAGTCTCCCATAGACTCTAATGTTAAAAGCTGCCATAGACGTCAATGTTAAAGGCTCCCATATACTTCAATGTTAAAGGTTCCCATAGACTTCAATGCTAAAGGCTCCCATAGACTACAATGTTAAAGGCTCCCATAGACTTCAATGTTAAAGGTCCCCATAGACTTCAATGTTAAAGGCTCACATAGACTGCAATGTTAAAGGCTCCCATAGACTGCGATGTTAAAGGCTCCCATAGACTGCAATGTTAAATTCTCCCATAGACTTCAATGGTAAAGGCTCCCATAGACTTCAATGTTAAAAGCTCCCATAGACTTCAATGTCAAATCCTCCCATCGAATTTAAGAGCTACATCGCTCAGTGAGCTTTACCTGCTAAAGTAAAAACAAGTTTAGTTTTAAAGAGTTTATAGTTTCGTATAAATCCACAATTCGTTACAACTGAAACTTGGTACATCCAACATTGGCAGTGGTGAGTGTTGCTGTGTTACGTGAGGCATTAACTCACTGGCATTGCCCCTCGTCCGCTACAACCTCGCTCCTGCTGCTACTACTGCTGCTCCTGCTGCTGCTTCTGCTCCTGCTGCTGCTACTGCTCCTGCTGCTGCTGCTCCTGCTTCTGCTCCTGCTGCTGCTGCTCCTGCTGCTGCTGCTACTGCTCCTGCTGCTGCTGCTCCTGCTGCTGCTCCGGCTGCTGCTGCTCCTGCTGCTGCTGCTACTGCTCCTGCTGCTGCTGCTCCTGCTGCTGCTGCTCCGGCTGCTGCTGCTACTGCTGCTGCTGCTCCTGCTGCTGCTGCTACTACTACTACTGCTGCTGCTGCTCCTGCTGCTGCTGCTCCTGCTGCTGCTCCTGCTGCTGCTGCTCCTGCTGCTGCTGCTGCTGCTGCTCTGCTGCTGCTGCTCCTGCTACTACTGCTGCTCCTGCTGCTGCTGCTCCTGCTGCTGCTGCTGCTGCTCCTGCTGCTGCTGCTCCTGCTGCTGCTGCTACTGCTCCTGCTGCTGCTGCTCCTGCTGCTGCTGCTCCTGCTGCTGCTGCTCCGGCTGCTGCTGCTCCTGCTGCTGCTGCTACTACTACTACTGCTGCTGCTGCTCCTGCTGCTGCTGCTCCTGCTGCTGCTCCTGCTGCTGCTCCTGCTGCTGCTGCTCCTGCTGCTGCTGCTGCTCCTGCTGCTGCTGCTGCTCCTGCTGCCGCTGCTGCTACTACTACTGCTGCTCCTGCTGCTGCTGCTCCTGCTGCTGCTGCTGCTGCTCCTGCTGCTGCTGCTGCTGCTCCTGCTGCTCCTGCTGCTGCTCCTGCTGCTCCTCCTGCTGCTGCTCCTGCTGCTGCTGCTGCTCCTGCTGCTCCTGCTGCTCCTGCTGCTGCTCCTGCTGCTGCTGCTACTGCTGCTCCTGCTGCTGCTCCTGCTGCTGCTGCTGCTCCTGCTGCTGCTCCTGCTGCTGCTGCTGCTCCTGCTGCTGCTACTGCTGCTGCTGCTCCTGCTCCTGCTCCGGCTGCTGCTGCTCCTGCTGCTGCTGCTCCTGCTACTACTGCTGCTGCTGCCTCTTGATGGGACGCATCTCCCGCTACAGGAGCTCCGAGCCCGCTGAGACCCAGACGCCCTGGGACACCGAGAAAGACGGATACATCCCCATGGTAATGACGCAGCCGTCACTGTGGTGATGGTGGTGATGGTATTAGTGATGGTGGTGTTGGTGGTGGTATTAGTGATGGTGGTGTTGGTGGTTGTGGTATTGGTGGTATTGGGTGGGTGGGTGGGTGAGTGGGTGGGTGGGTGAGTGAGTGGGTGGGTGGGTGGGTGAGTGGGTGGGTGGGTGAGTGGGTGGTGGGTGGGTGGGTGGGTGGGTGAGTGGGTGGTGGGTGGGTGGGTGGTGAGTGGGTGGGTGGGGTGGGTGGGTGGGTGGGTGAGTGGGGTGGGTGGGTGAGTGGGTGGGTGGGTGGTGGTGAGTGGGTGGGTGGGTGGGTGAGTGAGTGAGTGGGTGGGTGAGTGGGTGGGTGGGTGGGTGGGTGAGTGGGTGGGTGGGTGGGTGAGTGAGTGGGTGAGTGGGTGAGTGAGTGGGTGAGTGGGTGGGTGGGTGAGTGAGTGGGTGGGTGGATGGGTTAGTGAGTGGGTGGGTGGGTGGGTGAGTGGGTTGGTGAGTGGGTGGGTGGGTGGGTGAGTGGGTGGGTGGGTGGGTGGTTGGGTGAGTGAGTGGGTGGGTGGGTAGGTGAGTGGGTGGGTGGGTGGTCGAGTGAGTGAGTGGGTGGGTGAGTGAGTGAGTGGGTGAGTGAGTGGGTAAGTGAGTGAGTGGGTGGGTGAATGGGTGAGTGAGTGGCTTGGCCAGTGAGTGCGTGGCTGAGTGAGTGACCTTGGAGTGCACCTAGCCTGGCACAGGCGCCGTGGTAAAATCAACGCCAGACGGTGGCGAACGGTGGCTGTCGTTGTTGTTGTAGAGCCGGCTAGCAGCACTTGCCCCTACAGTGTGTGAAGGCTACACGGGATGGGATCTGTGTCTCTGTAGAGCCGCATGGTGACTGTCGCCACACGCGTCAACTACCTGGACGTGGACGTGGAGGCTCGGGGGATTACACACGCACCGGTGACCCATCACTCACCAACATCACTAACACCATCACTAACATCACTACCTTCACTACCACCATCACTACCATCACTACCATCACTAGCATCATCACTACCATCACTAACATCACTAGCATCACTAGCACCGGTGACCCATCACTCACTAGCACCATCACTAACATCACTCACTAACATCACTCACTCACATCACTACCATCACTCACTCACATCACTCACTCACTAGCACCATCACTAGCACCATCACTCACTAGCACCATCACTAACATCACTCACTAACATCACTAGCACCGGTGACCCATCACTACCACCATCACTAACATCACTAGCACCATCAGTAACATCACTCACTAACATCACTCACTCACATCACTCACTCACATCACTAACATCACTAGCACCGGTGACCCATCACTAGCACCATCACTCACTAACATCACTCACTGACATCACTCACTAACATCACTCACCAACATCACTCACCAACATCACTCACTCACATCACTAGCATCACTACCATCATCACTACCATCACTCACTATCATCACTAGCACCGGTGACCCATCACTAGCACCATCACTCACTAACATCACTCACTAACATCACTCACTAACATCACTACCATCACTCTCACATCACTAGCACCGGTGACCCATCACTCACTCGCATCACTACCATCACTAACATCATCACTCACTCACATCACTCACTAACATCACTAGCATCACTCACATCACTAGCACCGGTGACCCATCACTCACTAACATCACTAACACCATCACTAACATCACTAACATCACTACCTTCACTAGCACCATCACTACCATCACTAACATCACTAGCATCACTAGCACCAGTGACCCATCACTCACTCACATCACTCACCAACATCATTCACTCACTAACATCACTCACTAGCATCAACTACCATCACTAACATCACTCACTACCATCACTAACATCACTCACTAGCATCACTAACATCACTAGCACCGGTGACCCATCACTCACTCACATCACTAGCATCACTCACTAACATCACTAGCATAACTAACATCACTAGCACCATCACTAGCACCATCACTCACTCACATCACTCACTCACATCACTAACATTACTAGCATCACTCACTAACATCACTCACTACCATCACTAACACCATCACTAACATCACTAGCACCATCACTAGCATCACTAGCATCACTCACTAGCATCACTAACATCACTCACTCACATCACTAGCATCACTCACTCACATCACTCACACCATCACTCACTACCATCACTAGCACTACCTGACCACCCTTACCACCCTCACCCTCACATCTTCCTAACCACCCTCACCACCCTCACCTCCTCCTCACCCCCTCACCTCACCCTCACCACCCTCACCACCCTCACCTCCTCCTCACCACCCTCACCACCCTCACCCTCTCTCCTCACCCTCACCTCCTCACCACCCTCAACACCCTCACCCTCACCCCCTCACCTCACCCTCACCACCCTCACCTCCCCCTCACCCCCCTCCTCACCCCCTCACCTCCTCACCACCCTCACCACCCTCACCACCCTCCCCCCCCCCGCCCCCCAGGTGGGGGTGCTGCCCCCCTCCCCCCCGTCCCCGCTGGCGCTGTGCCGGGTGGACTACGTGACGGTGGACCACGAGCGCACGCTCGCCCTGCAGAGCACCCGTCACGAGTGGAGGCACGCGCGGGACGCCCTCTGAGGATCCACCTCATAGTCCACCACCAGCAGCAGGGTGGACAATCACAGTCACCTCCTAGTCCACCAGCAGCAGCAGGGTGGACAATCACAGTCACCCACTCACCACCAGCAGGGTGTATGTGTGTTTCAACTTGTGTGTGTGTGTATGTTTCACCTTCTGTGTGTGTGTGTTTCAACTTGTGTGTGTGTGAGTGTGTGAGTGTTTTAACTTGTGTGTGTATATATGTGTGTGTGTGAGTGTATGTTTCAACTTGTGTGTGAGTGTTTCACCTTGTGTGTGTGAGTGTTTCAACTTGTGTGTGTGTTTCAACTTGTGTGTGTGTGAGTGTTTCACCTTGTGTGTGTGAGTGTTTCAACTTGTGTGTGTGTGTGTATGTTTCACCTTGTGTGTGTGTGTTTCAACTTGTGTGTGTGTGAGTGTTTCACCTTGTGTGTGTGTGAGGGTTTCAACTTGTGAGTGTGAGCGGTAGTGTAGCGGTTAGCGCTATGAACCTGGCAACCCGAGTTCGATTCCCGTGCACGGACAACACCGGCGACGATTATCGTGGGTCTCCCCTAGGTCGACTCAGCCTCAGATGAGTACCTGGTGTAGCAGTGTGTAAACATCGCTACTCGGTGCTCGCTAACAGCACTTGCCCAACAGCCTGCGGAGGCTACACGGGGGGTCTTTGTCTTTGTGAGTGCGAGTCTATGGACCGGTGTTGTCTGGACCTCTGTAGAATCCAGGAGGTTCTGAGGACCCGTTCTGACCCCAGTAACCAGGTGGGGTGGACAGTCCACGACTCAAGGTAGGAGACGACAAAATAACGAAGGGGTGTGTGGGAGCGTGGAGGTGAGGTATGGGAAGTCATGAGTCCCTGGCCACTTTGGGCTCGCTTGCTCAACAACGGGAAGCGAGAAATGGTGGTGGTGGTGGTGATGGTGGTTGCTTGCGTCCCTACCGAAGACGGACATCATTGGAGGGATGCAGGCAAGGCCGATGAGTCAGATGGCTTCTATTACCTGTCCCAGGTGCTGGCTAAAGTGGCCCCTTGGGATAGGTTCCAATCAAGAACATCTGCTGGACTAGATAGTGATGGAACAGCAGATGCGGGCCCATGTCCTTGACACCAGGACCTGCCGTGGACTTGATCTGCCCACTGACCATGAGCTTGGTAAGTTGTGCCTGCCATTCCTCCACTGCGGTGGTGGGTGTCCATCTAGGACCCCATTCAAACCCACAATAGCCTCGACACATCTTTCACCACCTAGTTGGAGATGCTTTTCGAGACGGTGTGATGAGAAGTTTAATCGAGTACGGCAAATACAACTGGAGGCTCATCGATGCCTGGGTGCAGTCAAGGGATGGCTTCCTATTGGTCAACCAAGTTACATATGCTGATGATCTCAGAATTGCTATCATCAAATACTCCACCCCCCCTCAACCCCCCATGAGTGACGGGGCAGTTGTGGAAATAGTGGAGGATTTACACTATGAGACATCTCCTTTACCAGTGGCAAAATATAGTAGTAGGTTTTTACCCTTTCAACTGGTACAAAAACTGACACCTTTATACAAGGCATCATTAGTATGCCTTTTGGCGTCATCTGGTCCAACACCAATGGAGACTAGGCTCTAAGAAAAGCTGTCTCGGGTGTGGACCAATCAACTTCAAGGACAGTGCATACATTATCATCATCATCAGAGTTGTTTCTTTTTGTTTGCATTTTGACTGCTTGTGTTGTGGTTATTGCAAACATGATGCCTTGTATAAAGGTGTCAGTTTTTGTACCAGTTGAAAGGGTAAACACCTATTACAATAGTGGAGGAGTTTGCAGACTTGGGAAGTGTGCTTATGACCAGCTCCAGTTTCGCAATGGAGGTCTTACTCCAAATCGGTCAAGTAGCATCTTTTCATCAGCTGCGTAACGCTGTGGTGGAAGCTACCTGGAAGTAATACTCCACACAAAGCTCACAGTCATGCCCTCGTTTCTCGATGTTTGCGAAAAGTGGAACCCTTTGCAGGGCCATCTGTGCCTGTTTGAATTGTTGAGGCTGGCTTGCCTATGATCCATCCAGGGTTTAACCAGATAGGATTGTAGTGTGAGGAGCTCACAGATCCTTAAGCGATCTGGACATGGTCCCATTGGTGAGCTCTAGCACGTGATGCTACGTTGGCAGGGTACGGGTAGGGTATGGGTACGGCCGGGTACGGGTACCCGTTTGCGACCCAGGTGCGGCCGGGTACGGGTAAGGAATCAAAACCCGTTTGCGACCTCTGCCTCAAAGTGCACCTAGCCTGGCACAGGTGCCGCGATGACGTTGCCGCCACTTAGTGACGAATGGCGGCTGCTGTTATTGTGTGGATCTGCACTCCTTTGCCGGCCTTCACAGGTGCTGTTCGCCACGCGGCACTCACCCCATCAGCTTGTGGAGGCTATAGAATGTGTAAATAATTTTGACCACTTGATTGTTTGACGTTGATTAATGTTGAATGTTGCGTTTTCATCATTGCAGTAGACCCTCGATTATCTGCGTGCCGTTGATCCAGTTTGCGAATGAAGCGGGCACCAGAGATTTTGACTTAAATTCATAGTTGATGATTTTCCCTGAAGCACAAATTCATTGTCTAGAAACAAACTCTTTGGTTCACCCACTCAGCCACTCCCCCCTCCCACTCTCTCACTGACCCACTCTCCCATTCACCCACTCTCCCACTCACCCACTCTCCCACTCACCCACTCTCCCACTCTCCTACTCTCTCACTCTCCCATCCACTCTCCCACTCACTTTCCCACACCCACTCTCCCACTCACCCACTCAGCCACTCACCCACTCTTCCACTCACCCACTCTCTCACTCTCCCACTCACCCACTCTTCCACTCACCCACTCTCTCACTCTCCCACTCACCCACTCTTCCACTCACCCACTCTCTCACTCTCCCACTCACCCACTCTTCCACTCACCCACTCTCTCACTCTCCCACTCACCCACTCAGCCACTCTCCCACTCACCCACTCTCCCACTCACCCACTCTCCCACTCACCCACTCAGCCACTCTCCCACTCACCCCCCCTCCCACTCTCTCACTGACCCACTCTCCCATTCACCCACTCTCCCACTCACCCACTCAGCCACTCTCCCACTCACCCCCCCTCCCACTCTCTCACTGACCCACTCTCCCACTCACCCACTCTCCCACTCACCCACTCAGCCACTCTCCCACTCACCCCCCCTCCCACTCTCTCACTGACCCACTCTCCCATTCACACTCACTCTCCTACTCTCTCACTCTCCCACTCACCCACTCACCCACTCTCCCACTCACCCACTCAGCCACTCTCCCACTCACCCCCCCTCCCACTCTCTCACTGACCCACTCTCCCACTCACCCACTCTCCCACTCACCCACTCAGCCACTCTCCCACTCACCCCCCCTCCCACTCTCTCACTGACCCACTCTCCCACTCACCCACTCTCCCACTCACCCACTCAGCCACTCTCCCACTCACCCCCCCTCCCACTCTCTCACTGACCCACTCTCCCACTCACCCACTCTCCCACTCACCCACTCAGCCACTCTCCCACTCACCCCCCCTCCCACTCTCTCACTGACCCACTCTCCCATTCACACTCACTCTCCTACTCTCTCACTCTCCCACTCACCCACTCACCCACTCTCCCACTCACCCACTCAGCCACTCTCCCACTCACCCCCCCTCCCACTCTCTCACTGACCCACTCTCCCACTCACCCACTCTCCCACTCACCCACTCAGCCACTCTCCCACTCACCCCCCCTCCCACTCTCTCACTGACCCACTCTCCCACTCACCCACTCTCCCACTCACCCACTCAGCCACTCTCCCACTCACCCCCCCTCCCACTCTCTCACTGACCCACTCTCCCACTCACCCACTCTCCCACTCACCCACTCAGCCACTCTCCCACTCACCCCCCCTCCCACTCTCTCACTGACCCACTCTCCCATTCACACTCACTCTCCTACTCTCTCACTCTCCCACTCACCCACTCACCCACTCTCCCACTCACCCCCCCTCCCACTCTCTCACTGACCCACTCTCCCATTCACACTCACTCTCCTACTCTCTCACTCTCCCACTCACTTTCCCACACCCATTCTCCCACTCACCCACTCAGCCACTCTCCCACTCACCCACTCTCTCACTCTCCCACTCACCCACTCAGCCACTCTCCCACTCACCCCCCCCTCCCACTCTCTCACTGACCCACTCTCCCACTCACCCACTCTCCCACTCACCCACTCAGCCACTCTCCCACTCACCCCCCTCCCACTCTCTCACTGACCCACTCTCCCACTCACCCACTCTCCCACTCACTCTCTCACTCACTCACCCACTCTCCCACTCACCCACTATCTCACTCTCCCACTCATCCACACACCCACTCACCCACTCACCTACTCACCCCCCTCCCACTCACCCACTCTCCCATTCACACTCCCCACTCGCTCTCCGACTCGCCCACTCTCCTGCTCACCTGCGAGTGAGCTGAAACAATCGCAGTTGGCGGGTCGTCAAACGCTTCTGGATATGTTATGAACTTATTTTGCACCGTACGTAGCCAATTGTGCTCATTCAGCCTGTGGCTGTGTTTGGTGATGGAGGGTACCACGACAAAAACGTGTCCACATCGTTACGCGAACCCCCACTTGTTACCGGTGATTTTTATGTTTCTATTAATTGTTTTGGTAAGAGAATATGTGCGTGTGTTTAACACGATTTCTAATACGATCGTTTATGTGAAATGTGAAATGTGCTTCATTAAAATTCTCACTAAGATGATGATGGCTGACGTCTCGTTTTCATACCGCCGTGGATACGCGAGTTTTAGAATCGGAATCTGCGTCGCGACTTAACTAACGAACCTTGTTATTTCTAGATTTGAAGCTTTCGTGACTGCAAGGATTCATATTCTTAGGTTTTTTCGGTAAAGTCATATAGGTAAAACATCAAAAACGTCGTGATTTTTATTTTATTTTCATTAATTTTGATGTTTTACCTACGTGACTTTACCGAAAAAACCTAAGAATATGAACCTTGTTATTTTACCAGGTGAATGCCCACTGAGGCATCGAGCTCTTTTACTGGTAGGAACCACCGGGTTTCACCAGCCCACAGGGGATTATTGTGTCCGTCCGTCGTGCATCCAAAAATGGGAGGGTTGGGGCTGGATGGAGAGGGGAGGGTGTGGAGGGGCTGGGTGGTGAGGGTGGGGCTGGGTGGGGAGGAGCTGGGTGGGGAGGGGCTGGGTGGTGAGGGTGGGGCTGGGTGGTGAGGGGAGGGGCTGGGTGGGGGGTGGGAGGGGAGGGGCTGGGTGGAGAGGGGAGGGGCTGGGTGGGGGGTGGGAGGGGTGGGGCTGGGTGGAGAGGGAGGGGCTGGGTGGGGGGTGGGAGGGGTGGGGCTGGGTGGGGGGGGGCTGGGTGGGGGGTGGGAGGGGTGGGGCTGGGTGGGGAGGGTGGAGCTGGGTGGGGGGTGGGAGGGGTGGGGCTGGGTGGGGAGGGGCTGGGTGGGGAGGGGTTGGGTGGGGAGGGTGGGGCTGGGTGGGGGGTGGGAGGGGTGGGGCTGGGTGGAGAGGGGAGGGGCTGGGTGGAGAGGGTGGGGCTGGGTGGGGGGTGGGAGGGGTGGGGCTGGGTGGGGAGGGGCTGGGTGGGGAGGGGCTGGGTGGGGAAGGGTTGGATGGGGAGGGTGGGGCTGGGTGAGGAGGGGCTGGGTGGGGAGGGTGGAGCTGGGTGGGGGGTGGGAGGGGTGGGGCTGGGTGGGGAGGGGCTGGGTGGGAGGGTGGAGCTGGGTGGGGGGTGGGAGGGGTGGGGCTGGGTGGGGAGGGGCTGGGTGGGGAGGGTGGAGCTGGGTGGGGGGTGGGAGGGGTGGGGCTGGGTGGGGAGGGGCTGGGTGGGGAGGGGTTGGGTGGGGAGGGTGGGGCTGGGTGGGGGGTGGGAGGGGTGGGGCTGGGTGGAGAGGGGAGGGGCTGGGTGGAGAGGGTGGGGCTGGGTGGGGGGTGGGGCTGGGTGGGGAGGGGCTGGGTGGGGAGGGGTTGGATGGGGAGGGTGGGGCTGGGTGGGGGCTGGGTGAGGAGGGGCTGGGTGGGGAGGGTGGAGCTGGGTGGGGGGTGGGAGGGGTGGGGCTGGGTGGGGAGGGGCTGGGTGGGGAGGGTGGAGCTGGGTGGGGGGTGGGAGGGGTGGGGCTGGGTGGGGAGGGGCTGGGTGGGGAGAGTGGAGCTGGGTGGGGGGTGGGAGGGGTGGGGCTGGGTGGGGAGGGGCTGGGTGGGGAGGGTGGAGCTGGGTGGGGGGTGGGAGGGGTGGGGCTGGGTGGGGAGGGGCTGGGTGGGGAGGGGTTGGATGGGGAGGGTGGGGCTGGGTGGGGGCTGGGTGGGGAGGGGCTGGGTGGGGAGGGTGGAGCTGGGTGGGGGGTGGGAGGGGTGGGGCTGGGTGGGGAGGAGTGATGCTGAGTGGGGAAGGGAGGGGCTGGTCACCCCGTGATGCCCTTATAATCAGAGGTGGGACAAAGTCATTGTTATGCAAGTCCAAGTCGAGTCTGAAGTCATCAAATTCATGACTCGAGTCTGACTCGAGTCCAAGTCACATGACTCGAGTCCACACCTCTGCTTATAATATATCGCGATATCGTAAAGCGGCCCCGCCGTGACAACGCGGAGCGCGTGTTCGTGACGCACTTCCGCCCACTTGGGTCACCGCTCAGCCCCGCCCACCAACCAAATTAACATAATTTATGTCAAAAACGGCTTCACATATTAACATAAAATATGCTGCTCATCACAGTAATGTTAATCGCGGTGACGTCATCCTCGCAACAGTATGTTAATTACGTAACATATTCATGAATATGTTAATTAATTAACATATACATGAATATGCTAATGAGGAACCACCGCTGTCAACACTGAGACCCCCTCCCCCCCCCGCCATTGCTCGCAGCAGCAGCTCCGGCCAGTCTGCGGCCTGCCTTCACCGCCGCCTCAGAGGTCCGAGACCACGGAGCGAAGCGGCGCCATGAGCACCGACGACGCCGACGCCGCCGCTACGAACGACGTCGCGCGGCCCGAGTCGCCGTTCGGCAGCAGGGTCCTCCGAGCGCTGCTCGAGAGCTTGCAGCAGCGGCCCGCGCTGCTGCCGGCGGGAGACGCCGATGACGGTGAGGCCTCGGGGCGGCCGGCGCGGCTAGGCAAGCGCGGGGGGCCCGTGGGGGGAGGCGGTTGGCTAGGCCTCGACTCCAAATATTTTTACCGAAAATTTTCACTTTGTGAGCATTTCAAAGATGTTTAAACGTTGGCTGCCGTGAAGACCGGACGCTGCTTTCGTCTAGCAGAGCGAGCGTGCGGGAGCTGCTGCTGCTGCTGCAGGCTACGGTGGCTATAAGACGTTAACTCCATCGTCCGCTATGCAGGAGGTCGTGGGCTCGAATCTGACCCTGATAACGCCTCGTGTATTTTTGGAGTTTGTATGTCACTTCACTGTCTCTCTCTCTCTCTTTCTCTCTCCCCGTGGTCGCGTGGGATTGTTTCCCCTCCATATTTAGAATGAACGTCACGCGTTTTAAGAGTATCTGGCTGCCAGACATTTCCACATGATAAGCCACTTTGCTGGGTCAGGTCGCTTCTGAAGAAGAACTACATCGCTCAGTGCGGCCTTAGCTGGTAACAGTTAGAAGTTACGAGTTGGTAGTCAATTGAAAGTGAGAGGGAGTCAAGTATTGCGATAGATGGTGGCATGGCTCTGTGTGTGTGGGTCTCTGAGTCTCCTGCCTCTGTGTATCTCTTTAAGCGAATGAGTGAGTGGGTGAATTAATAAGTGGGTGACTGGGTGAGTGAGTGCGTGGGTGACTGGGCGAGTAAATGGGTGGGTGAGTAAGTGGGTGAGTGAGTGAATGAGGTGGGTGAGTGGGTGAGTGAGTGAGTGATTGAGTGGGTGACTGAGTGAATGAGTTGGTTGAGTGGGTGAGTGAGTGGGTGACTGAGTGAATGAGTTGGTTGAGTGGGTGGGTGAGTGAGTGATTGAGTGGGTGACTGAGTGAATGAGTTGGTTGAGTGGGTGAGTGAATGAGTAAGAGGGCGAGTGATTGGGTGACTGACTGAGTTACTGGGTGAGTGAGTGAATGAGTAAGAGGGTTAGTGACTGGGTGACTGACAGAGTTACTTTGTGAGTGGGTGAGTGGGTGAGTGAGTGAGTGATTGGTTGAATGGGTGAATGAGTTGGGTGAGTGAGTGAGTAAGAGGGTGAGTGACTGGGTGACTGACTGAGTTACTGGGTGAGTGAGTTGGTGAGTGAGTTGGCAAGCGAGTGGGTGATTTCATGCCGTGGTCTGAAACCGCATCTGTAATATATTTCATAGTTTGGGCCACACCACATGGCTTGGTATTTATTTCAGCATTTGGCTCCGATCGCGTGCACCCACACCACCAAGCACCCCGAGGCTCACAGAGCCAGTCTAAGGCACGCCGATGTAATAAAAAAAATTATGATTACCCCTCACTCCCCGTGTTGTTATCGATAGTTCAATGTTCTTGTGGATTTTTTTTGCGGGGCGGTGTGTTGTTGTTGTCTTGGTGTGGTCTGGGACTGTTGTTGTTGTTGTCTTGGTGTCGGGTCTGGGACTTGTTGTTGTTGTTGTTGTCTTGGTGTGGTCTGGGTCTGTTGTTGTTGTTGTCTTGCTGTGGTCTGGGTCTGTTGTTGTTTTTGTTGTCTTGGTGTGGTCTGGGTCTGTTGTTGTTGTTGTCTTGCTGTGGTCTGGGTCGGTTGTTGTTGTCTTGCTGTGGTCTGGGACTGATGTTGTTGTCTTGGTGTGGTCTGGGACTGTTGTTGTTGTTGTCTTGGTGTGGCCTGGGATTTGTTGTTGTTGTTGTTGTTGTCTTGGTGTTGTCTGGGACTGTTGTTGTTTTTCTTCCTTGCCAAAGCTTTGGAATTGGTGTACTGATGCAATTTGAACTTATATACTTTTGTATCGTGCGGCACTTTCAGATGCACTTCTGCGGCCGTCTGGAACGCTCTTCCTTCCAATATTAGGAAGCCGGGTACGGGTAGCCGGGTATCGGGTAGGGTACGGGTATCGGGTACCCGGTTGCGACCTCTGATGTCCGTCGACATCCTCCTGGGCCAATCGCCGTGTCCAGAGCCGTGGCGTCTGGTGGGCAATGCGACCTCACGACTGCAGCCAAGACTCCGCTGGCGAGCGTAAAGATATTCGTTGAAACGACACGACGCTTCTATTGAGAATATTTTTTTTTTTACCCTTTTATCTGGTGCCTTTTGGCGTCATCTGGTCCAACGCCATGTGAGACTAGGCTCTAAGAAAAGCTGTCTCGGGTGTGGACCAATCAACTTCAAGGACAGTGCACATACATTATCAGAGTTGTGTTTTTTGTTTGCATTCCGACCGCAGGTATTGTGGTTAATGCAAACATGACTCCTTGTTAAAAAAAGGTGTCAGTTTTGTTGCCAGATAAAAGGGCAAAAAAACAATTATCATATTTTGCTACTGGCAAAGGAGGTTCCAATGGTGACGCTTCTATTATTTGTATCGGTTTTTGTTTACTTTAATACCGCACAGTATCAAATATATGATTTTTAACGTAAATTGTCTTTGTTTACAATATGGTGTTCATAGTGTATACACCAGGCGAGGTAGTTATCTCCAAGACACTGGCGGTGCCCAATTAATTGCTGTTCCTACTCGCTACCAACAGCGCTTGTGTGGCTGTGTGTGTGTGTCTGTGTGTGTGGCTGTGTGTGTATGTCTGTGTGTGTGTGTGTGTCTGTGTGTGTATGTGGCTGTGTGTGTGTCTGTGTGTGTGTGCCTGTGTGTGCCTGTGTGTGGCTGCGTGTGTGTGTGTCTGTGTGTGTGTCTGTGTGTGTGGCTGTGTGTGTGTGTGACTGTGTGTGTGTCTGTGTGTGTGTGTCTGTCTGTGTGTGTGTCTGTCTGTGTGTGGCTGTGTGTGTCTATGTGTGTGTATGTGCGGGGAGGGGGTCTGCGTAGACCGGCTTCGCCAGAGAAATCCGCTGAGCAGGAGCGCCTCTGGCTCCCCCCAAGTCGTGACGACTGAAGGTTTATTTTTATTTTTTTTCCCTCGACCGCGTGCAGTCTCGTCGCCCCGTGCCCGGTTACGTAAGGAACGAGGAGGAGGATGAGGGGAACGTCCCGGGGAGGACTGAGGGCGGGGGGGGGGGTAGGCGGCAGATGGGAAATTAATAAGAGATAGGAATCTGCAAGGAGCAGAATAAATCGTAGCAACTATACACTACACTATACACTACACTATACACTACATTATACACTACACTATTACACTACATTATTACACTACATTATTACACTACATTATTACACTACATTATTACACTACACGATACACTACACGGTACACTATACTACTATACTCTACACGTTACACTATACGTTACACTGCACTAAACACTACACTATACACTACACTATACACTACACGTCTATATACTACACTTTTGTGTCGTGTTTTTCAGCTGCACGCCTGAGCGAGAGGGAGGCAGACAGTGCCTCTGTAACAGGAACCCACGTTTTTGTTCAGCTGCTGGATCGCAGCTAATCACACGACCATTGTGGATCCTGTCTGCCTGCCGTGCGAGTCCCGGCTCTTACGTAAAGGGCTGCGGTTATGCGTGCGGTGCCGGCAGGCTGTACCCTGCCAAGAACGCTTTGCACTCATTCCATTTGCCCAGCGGCTGTGGGGGTTGGCAGCGCATTCATTCATTCGCCCACCACGCTCACACACACCCCACTCGCACACACACACACACCCCACTCACACACACCCCGCTCACACACACACCACGCTCACACACACCCCACTCACACACACCGCACTCACACAAACACACCACTCACTCACACACACACACCACTCACTCACACACCACTCACACACACCACTCACTCACACACACACACTCACTTTACACACACACCCCACTCACACACACACACCACTCACTCACACACACACACCCCACTCACACACACACCCCACTCACTCACACACACACCCCACTCACTCACACACACACCCCACTCATACACACCGCACTCACACAAACACACCACTCACACACACACACCACTCACTCACACACACCACGCTCACACACACCCCACTCACACACACCGCACTCACACAAACACACCACTCACTCACACACACCACGCTCACACACACCCCACTCACACACACCACTCACTCACACACCACTCACACACACACCCCACTCACTTTACACACACACCCCACTCACTCACACTCACACACACACCCCACACACACACCCCACTCACTCACACCCCACACACACACACACCACTCACTCACACACCACTCACTCACACACACCCCACTCACTTTACACACACACCCCACTCACACTCACACACACACCCCACTCACACACACACACCCCACTCACACACACACCCCACTCACACACACACACCCCACTCACACACACACCCCACTCACTTGCACACACCACTCGCACACACACACACCACCAACTCACTCACCACACTCACACACCCCACTCACACACACACCCCACTCACACACACACCACACACACACACACACACCACTCACACACACACCACTCACACACACCACTCACACACACACACACCCCACTCACACACACACACCCACTCACACACACACACACCACTCAGTCACTCACACACCGCACTCACTCACACACACACCACTCACACACCCCACTCACTCACACACACATTCACACACCACTCACACACACACCGCACTCACACACACACCACTCACTCACACACACCCCACTCACTTTACACACACACCCCACTCACACCACTCACACACACCCCACTCACTCGCACACACCCCACTCACACCCCCCCCACTCACACACACACCGCACTCAAACACGAACAATACGAGCAACAGCCGCTATTCGCCACGATGTGGTGGTGACGACGCCACAGCGATGGTGCCCGGCTAGGCCGACTCCGAGGCCACGTGAAGTGTCCAAGGCTCCCTGGCAGGAGGTCACGGGACAGACCCAGGTGTACAGATCCAGCAGGTGCCAAGGGTTGACTGACTGAGACGACTGGTAGCTGCACCACCTGTGCCCCCTACCTGCTGC